TCCCCCCCCGCTTCCTGCCAGCGTTAGGAGCCCCCCTGGGTGCTGTCCTGCCGTGGGGTGGGCGAGGCGGGAGGCGCTCCTGAAGGATGCCGTCCGTGTGGCGCTAACGACGGGCAAGATGCTTAAAAGAGCCTGGATCGAATCGCCCTTCAGGATTTACTTTGCGCGGTCCTTATGGCCCAGCCGCAGTGCGTGGGGGCGGAGGGTCCCACCCGAGCCGCGGAGCTGGCCGAGTCCCGCTTCCTGGGGCGAGAAGCGGGTCAGGCCGGGGGCAGCCGGGCGCGGAAAGCGGCGCTGGCAGCGGAGCCGCGATCCCGAGTGAAGCCTCGTGGGCAGAGCGTCTCCGAGGGGGCCCGCGAGACTGGCCGGTGCTTTCCACGAACACTGTCCGCCTCTGCTGGTTCCGTGCTCCTTGCTTCTGAGCTACATGTTAGCCAGGCAAGCCTTGGGAGTCTGTAAATCTGGCTATTTTAACTAATCATTAAAATATTAGAAAAAGCAAATGGAAGTGACAACTGCATGCTCATCCCATGAGCTCGTACTACCGCTTTTCAGCGTAGATGTATAAGCCTGTCATCTCATTCTGAAAACGGGGTTCCTGAGTACAAATTGCTCACTAATCCCTGAGATTATTGTATGTTTTGAATACTTATTCTTACTGCTCTTGTTCCGAAACTCCCAAACAAAGTATTTGGAAAGTATTTCCTCCTGTTCAGCCACCTCATCATGTTCTTTAACTGCTGTTGTCCTAGTTATGCTTACGGGTGTCCTCGTGAACCCGCTTTCCTTAGTTTTTATGCTGTCAAATGTTTGCTCTCTTCTATTCATTCCTGATTAACTGAAGGTTTAAATCTTCCCTCAAGCCTTTCCAGCCTCATAATCATTTTATTACTCCTTTATCTTTTTTTTTCTACATGATAAAAATTTAATTTGCATATTTGGTTGCATGATTGTCTTGCAAATTTGGGAGGGGGAATTTGTGGGTTTTTTTTTTGGGGGGGGGGTTGTTTTCAGGATCGATGATTTTTAACACTGCTGCTTGCTATGTTAAACAGAAGTTCTTTACTTTAGATTTCTTCCAAAACAGAGCCTTATCTGCAGAAGTTTGTATATTTATTTTATGATGTCAATTATTTAAATTTTAGGCTTCAGGATAGAATATTCCCTTCTGTCATCCCAGACAGAATTCCATTTTTTTTGAATTCCATTTTCCACTATTCCACCATTCCTTGTTTTAACTTGTGAACTGTAAGCCTCTTTCATTAAATGAGTAGCTAGTAGTGACCGCAGAATATCAGTCCGTGGTTTGGCCAGCCTTGTAGTGGCAGTTCACTTTCATAGGCGAGGAGGGGTGTAGTGTGGTATAGATATCACGAGGGAAGCAGTAATCTAAAAATTGTTTCTGGTTACAGAAATTGCTTCTGTTACAGCACTGCCAGGCTGACATATGTCTTTCCCTCCCCTTCCCCCAACTTAAAATACTTTAACACTTGAATCCTTAACTGTTTTTTCTTTTGTACAACTTTGTTTTAGAATTTCAGAACCATGCATTTCTCCTTATTTCCCCTGCAACAAGTAAACTTTTTTCCACTTTATTCAAAATTAAGTGGATAGTCTTTTTAATATCCTCAGCAACTTGTTTTTAGATGGTGCCTTTTCAGTTTTGTAGATGTACTTTTTTTTCCTTAAAGAAAATTCAGCAATACTAATGGGAGTTTTCCTGCAGTTTGAAATTAAAGTATACTTGAATTTGATAAGATATTTAAGATGCAGTGGACACTTTTGAGACATCTGGATCTTCAGTCTGTCTCTTAGTAGCAAAGTTTCTTCATTTGTGTATAAGCAACTCTTTTTGTCACGTGTGAATATAATCCAGTACAGTGCAATGTTCTCTCTCTTTTTTTTTTTTTTGGTGCATTTATAAAGTTTATAAATAAGGGTATTGGCATTATGAAACATATTTGCAGTATTGCAACTAAACTAGAATTCAATAGTTAAAATACTCAAAGAATCTGAAACCTTCCCAATGGCACTCTTGCAAAAACCCTGTACAAATAGATAAGCCTGGGCCTGAGGGTCAACAAACTCTTTCTTTGTCATGTCTGTTAAGTTAGCAAGTTGCAGAGAAGATTCACCTTTTGTTTAAAAACACTCTGTTTTGCTCTTTGCTTCTTGCTCTTGCACATAATTACATTTATGTGTAAATTGATAAATATGTCCATCCATAGGCTTAAATATTTTTTCAGAAAAGTCCTAACTGGAAGTCACTTACCTGAGAGTAGCAATGTTATTTGCAGAATAGAATGCCAAAGAGTTATTAAATATTTTGTATTATACTGCAACTGAAATGGCCTTTAGGCTTCATTCTCAATTCTCAGAAGATCTAAGTGTTCTGGAAGGATTAGAATTATTCCTTTAAGTTTAGCTAGGGATAGGAACAATCCTGACAAGAAATGAGGTTATGTTCAAAACTTCTGAAAACGGAGTTGGAAATTCGTCTTCTTTTAATTGATATAGACACTGTATCTGGCAGTATCACAGTTCTCTTGTAGTTAGGCATTCAGTGTTCTAGTAGGCTTGTAACTGAGAAATACTATGTCCGTGCTGAATGAAATGGGGTAAAAATGCTGTTTAGACTCGATTCACCCCACCCACTGTTTTTTTTTTCCTCTAAAGAGTATGGAAGAATATTTTCCTTCATCTGACTATTGAAGTCAACCTTCCCTTACTAAAGCAATGAGAGCCCCTCAATGTCTGATTGTAGAAGGTAACTGTTTACTAACTCTGTCTAGTATTACAAATAGTGTGTCAAGGGAGCATGCATGCTCACCACAGTGTTCCCAGTAAGGGCTTGAGTTGCAGCACCTCCTCACTTATCTATTAAAACTATGAGTGTTTTGTTAGGCACTCCTGGAGTTTCTTCTTTGCATCTCTTCCCAAGGAATGGACAGCTCAGTTTGGAAGAGAGGAATGGAAGATCTTAAGCTGGTATAACTCATTGCAGCCTTAGTGTTGGGAAACTGCAGCATGCAGATAGAAAACAGAAGTGTGTGTGTATATATATATATATTTATATATTTATATGTATGTGTGTCTATATGGATAGAATGAAGTGCTTTCATATGAATTATTTCACAAAATTGTCTCCAAAGACCCTTTAGTGGAACAACTTACGATTCCTTAGGAATCAACTGATGAAGAAAAAAAAAATAATGTTCATTACTTCTTAAATAAATATATTTTCTTACAATGTCTGATATGCTTTCTATTCTAATGGCTGTTTATTTTAGTTCTGTACTTGGGGTGATTGTTATCCCTGAAAGGGAGCAACTGAAGTCATAGATTATATCCTCAGACACACCTCTGTACCAATGAAAGAGTTTACTCCTGTCAGCCTCTCATGGAAGCTCCTTAGCTTTTTTTCCTAGTCAGAGTCACTGTTTTCTTTACCCGCAGCAAGCTGTCAGAACAAGTTATCTCAGCAGATTTACAAGAAGAGGAAGTTTTGCCTGGAACATGTGAATTTGGAGACAGTTCTGTTGCCTTATTTAACTGCTGAAGCTGGATTATTTCAGAAATACCAATGTAAGTGTATGTAGTACAGCTTTTGTAGAGGAAGATGTGCTGGCTGCGAGGAGATAATGCCTGCTCTATTTGAAACAGATGCCCCCCACAAACAGGAGAGCTTCCTTTAAAAACGAGTAACAACAGAAAACAGGAAGTTCAGCCTAACATACTAATGTTTGAACTTTAATCTTGAGAGTTAGGAAAACATAGGAATTCATGTGACTTTCATAGAAAGTAGAGTAAAAAAAAATTCTAAAAAATAATGGAAAAAATCAAACCTAAAAGCTCCATCAGCCCTATGTAGCAGGGATTCGTAACTCAAAGTAGGAAGTTTTTCATCACTGGGCCGTAGCATCTTCCCCACATCTCCCCTACAGTGCTTCCAGCTTTGTGCTTTTACTGCAGCTGCCTTGTCTCTTAAGACCTTGCTGCTTTTCCTCTGCCTCCTTTGGGCTTCAGGCTGGGTACTCTCACTGAAGCTTTCGTGCTGTTTGCAAGCCTAGTCTTGGAGTAAGCAACCTCAAGTGGTCAGCTGATGATAAATCAGCTGAAGTTGATGGGGACACAGGACACTCTGGGCCATGAGGACTTTCTGTGTTGCCCAACCAGTCAGCAGATGCTTCGTACCTGCAGTTGTCATGCTCTGCCGGGGGCAGTCTGCTTGCCTCTCTCCCTCGCTCCCTGCCCCCTTACGCTGTGGTGAGCAAAGTGAGGTTGGCGAAACAGTTTTTACCAGTATGGTCATGTAGGACATTTTTTTTTTTTGATTACCTATGCTGCTTTTTCTTTTTTTGTTGTGAATTCCATCTATGACAAATATGGTCATTTATCATATTGTTAATGGATGTGAATTCTAAGATACCTCAGCACTTACTTCAGTGCTTTTGTTTTGACTTGCTCTTTATTGACCCTGCTGTGTCCTTCTTATCTTTGAGTACATGCCAAGCACTTGAAATATGTCAGTAAACCAGACCTATGTGAATAATTCCTGATGATCCTGTATGTACTTAGATGTAGGGTTTAGTGCTAAGCCTTTGAAGAATCCCTGTACATGCTCAGACTTGTTAGACTTTTGTTTCCAAATTTCTGAGGGTTCCTTTCCATCAGATATGTTCCAGCCGGAGGTGCTGAAGTGGTGGTGTTTTCCTGTTGCAGCGGCAGGCTCTAAACCTAAACTGAGGGTAAGAAGATTATTTCCTGGGCTTGTGATGCTTGCTTTGTTGGTGCCCATCATTAGGACAGCCAGAGTTGTAAAGAAGATCCAACTGGAGCTTGGCCTTGGAGCTGTTAATCAAAGTTAAAGTGCCTAGAGTTGAGGAGGGAACGTGAGTGCCAGGAGATGTGGGATGCCTAGAAAAATGCACTAAAAGTGGCACACTTGGTCGTGGTGTTCATCTGGTTTTGTTTTTAATTATTGTTTGTAGCACAGGTGAAGAGAAGAATCAAAAAAAAATTGCAAGGAAGGAGGAGAGCCTGGGATTCCCCGTTCCCTTCCCTAGCACACCCTGGCAATTGGAATTTAAAAGTATGTTAATCTACCTCCTAAATTACTTGACTTTTAGATGCTATTTCCAATGTGATCTAGGCATTCAGGAGCACAGTGTTCCTTCCTGAAAACCAGGCTGGTGGTCTCTGGGAGATTATCTCACTAGAGCCTCTACCAAAACCAGCCAGACTAAACTATCCCCCTGGAGCTCTGCAGTTCTGTAGCTGCATTTGGCATCCAAACAATTCAAGTTCGTCTCTGCTGTACTCTCTCTGGTCTAGTCACATTCTCCACTAGCCTTAGAAATGGAACTTACGGACCAGGTTAGAGCAGGTTTGTGTGTATTAGTGTTCAGGGAGGCGTCCTGTGAAAGGTTCCTCAGGGCCATGCACCTTCTGGCTTTCCCTTGCTCAAATTTCGGCAGTTGTTTGAGGGCCACTTAAACTTGCTGTAATTGGGTTTGCTGTGCTCCTGCAGTTCTGTGTACAGCTTCCTGAGCTCGGCTGGGGTCTAGTAATAGAACAAACCTTAAATGTTTCATTTTGCAAAGCTGCTTTTTTATTATGCTTGTGACCATTTTGTTGTATAGCGTCATAGTAGTTGAAATATTTGCTCAGTATGTTTGAGATCTTAAGTTAAACACATTACTCTGCACATATTTGTTCCTAAGCGTAAGAGTTCAAACACACCCCTCTACTTAGCACTTTCTATTGGCTGGTTTTTGATGGTCTGCAAATTCAGCACGTGTGTGTGTGTTTCATCATTTTTGAGATATTGATTTTCTTTGAATGTAGTGTGAAGGTACTAGACTCCACGTTTGGCTTTGTCTCCAGATACTGAAAGTACCTGAAATGAAGAATAAAGCTGAATATACTGAATAAAGTGCCTAAATAAAACTTTTCCTGTAAGCATGGCTGCAAACTCATCCGTTATCCTTTTATTTATTTATTTATTTTAAAGGGACATAGAGCCCCTTAAATAGTTGACCATTTTAGTGTGGTTCTGCATGCTTACTTCACTGCTTTCTCCCATGTTTTTTTTCTAAGTTAGGTTTATTTAAAATTCCCCTTGCTATTATTTGTTAGTAATTGCTGTAAATGTAGTATCATAAAATGCCAAGACTGCTGTTATCCCTGACTTGAAATTTTGCCTAATGATTGTATGCTTCAGCCCTTTATTTAAATGTCTTTAATAATGTAAGTTGTTCTTGAGCCTTATCCTTAATTGATAATAATTAGTCTGTCTAAACGTCTAGATATTTAAGCTCTTCAGTCAGTCTTTGCAAGATCAGCACTCAAATTTGTTTTTCATCATGTTCTGTCTTGCACATCTTTACCATCCAACATCATGTGGACCACAGATCCCACGTAAATGGGTAGCATTTAAAGCTATTTACTTTTGCAGATTCTTAATTTCTACAATGCTTACTTTAAAAGCTACATGGCTTGGAGCTTTTAATGTACATCTTTTGTTGACTCTTCCTGAGCAAGAAGTTTATTTAAACTGTTACCAAATAGTTGAATTTGATCAAGTTGCATAAAACAAGCAGAGCTTGTAATCTTGTTCCTGTGTCCTTCCTCTGTGTCCTCACTGTACAAAGTTGTTCAAACAAAAAACTCAAATGAATTGATTAGTTAATTAGGTCATGATACAGCTGGCCTAAGTTGTATCTTTGTAGGAGTACTGCTGAATTTTGAAAAGCTAAATGAGGTGAGATACTAATCTGTTGCATGGCCATCACTGGTTGATTATAAGAGCTTTGGGCAATAATTACATTATGTTCTTCTCTGGCACCTCTAATTACATTACTCTAGAGTGCTATGCAAATATTAATTTAAGCTTGATTCATTTCAGTTTGCACAGCGTCTGTGCTCATTGCATACTTGCAGTCTGTGGTCAGATGGTTGCATATACGTAGCATGTATTATTCACATGTATGTGCACCAGTGATGTATGTCCTGTCCTGAAAAGCAAGACCATAAAATTTTAACGAACACCAAGGGTGAAAGGAGTATCATTTTCGTTTTCTAAGGTGTTTCCAAGATGGAAAAAGTAATTGCAAGCCCATGCAAGGGTATTGAGGAGAGAGGGGAAAAAAAAGTAATTAATGGCCATGGAACAATCATCACTTCAGGTCCATTGTGTTAACCAGAACTATATTCATCTGAAAATATATTCCTTGACCTTTTGAAACCTGTTGTCTCTTAGTGGGGTGTTCAGAAAGGGCAGTTGGAAAATGGAGAACAAATCCGTGTAGATAATTCAATATTCTTTATACATGTATTGAATGTTAAGATCATGGATTCTTGCCATTCATCAAAACTGTTTCTTGTCGAATAATGCATGTATGAAATGGTCTTTCTTTCGTCCAAGTACTAAAACCTTATGCTGCCCTCCTGTGTCACTCCAATAATACTCTCCCCCAGAAATTGGCAGTATTTTCCTTTTTAGTCTTCATTTTCCTTTTGAAGTGTTCAGCGATTCCTATATTAATTTCAGGAACAGAAGTGTATCTTCACAGGTCTGGGTTGAAAGAAATGCCACAGAGCTCCTGCATGTGTTCCTGTCTCCTTTGGAACCATTCTGGCAGTCGGGTGTATGACAGTACTTGTTGTTATTAAGATGTTCTGTGCAAGTGCTGAGTCAAATTGTGATTAACACCCTTCAAAGCCCTCATAACAATTGTTGATTGATAGTTATTCTTATCTTAGGAGACTGTCTGAAAGCTAATGGATAGATGCCTTACACAGAGGTGGACTTATATCTTCAGGAAAAAAAAATGCGTGTTTCTTGGGGTTTTTGTTGGTGTTTTCCTCTGGAAAGTAGAACTGGTACCTCAGTATGAGAGCTAATTTTTAGTGCTTCTAATGGTTGACAAATTCTTCCCATTATGGGCCATGGTTAGAGCTTTGCTGAATTGCAGTTGTGTTGGCCAAAATTTCTTTTCAGCTTCTAAAAGGAAAATAAACTAGAAAAAATATTTCAAATTTGATAAAAGTATTCATAAACAGTCTTACCTGAATAACTTTATTGCTTGCATCAAAAATAAATGGCCAGGGAAGCCGCGGTTGGGTAACCACAGAAACATATCTTTCTGCCTTGATGGAGGCCTCAATGACTTGTTAGAATTAACTCCCTGAAAATGACACTGTCTCTGACTGAGTCAGTCCTTATAGAGATCCTTTTGCTTACTGAATATTTTGCTTTGCTTGAGGAAATCCTGTTGGTAAATTTTTTGGAAAAAAAAAAAAAAAACTTGTTCTGAGGTTGCAGAATAGGGGGAGCTGAGAGGACAGGGATTTGTTCTTCCTTTCGCTTTCTTGGTGGCTGTTCTGATAGTAGGAATGTAATGTAAAAACAGTACTTGAAGGAAAACAAGTCTGATGAGGCAAAAAGTAGGGGAATGGAAGAGGTGTGTTAGTTCAGACAAGAAGCCTGAGTCCAAGTGCGAGGAGGAGAGATGGAAAGTTGAATAAGAGCTTGGGAAGAGAAAGAATTGAACAAAACAGGAACTACTAACATGAGAAGGAGTAAATATGCATGCATAGTAGGGCATGGTCAGGTAGCCAGGAGAAGGATGAAAAAAATTTAATTAGAAAGTTAGAACCATTAAGGTTGCAAAGTGAGGCCCTCAGGTCACACTAGTTCTCTAGTGCATAGTGAAGAGCACTAGTGAGAGAAAGTGAAAAAAATGTCACTCTTCTAGTGCCTTGTGCATCTGGCCAATGGCGTTTTCTTTAATTGCAAGCTCACATATGTTTTCCACCAGACTTATTTCTTCACTGTTCAGCATGAAACTGCACATTGCTCAATGAGGGGGAAACAAAATAATGGCTGCTCATTAAATTGGCACAGTCCGTTCTGTGTAATTGAATTTTGTTCTGGTGTGCACACCTTAAAAGCGACAAACATTCTTTCTGGAACAGGTGCCTCTCTACAGTTTTCAAAATGCAACTGGTGGTACTGCCCTCCGCTATCATGATGGGACTATCTCTAACATTTGTGCATCATTCAAATGTGCATAAGCAGTTAATTCCTTTTTGTGTTTTGTAGCTACACAAAACTGCGGCCTCTTACATAGTGCCCTGGAAGCTGATGAGCTACAGCTTTCTGGACTAGAAAAGGCTTCAGTAGTGAAGGAGCATCAGATAAAACTCTTTTCTACTCTCTTGGCCACATGGGTGGTTTCTAGCTAGAAACTTTGTCTCTGTGGCTTGGGTGAAGGTGCAACCTTTCAAATGAGAACTGAAGGTATTTTAGCCCTTAGTAATTCTGACTGACTTAACAGAGCATGGATTTAAATGCTTCATTTGCCTCATGATTCAGGAAGTGTTTTTATTGTTCATTTTATTGACTATTTTTTTCCTGAATTGATGTTTGTAGCTTCTGTGAGTAAGTTTTGAGTTAGTAGATGTGAGAAATACACTGTTGAGTCACACACTTGGATCTAGAATGAAGAAAAAAAATATTGCTCTAATTTTATTTGAGCTATATTTTATTTTGAATTCTGTAGCATTGGCATTAATGTATAACACACAAATATTGATGGGAGACAGTGATCAGCACCAAAATTTACTTTGCAATCTGTGGTAGAATAATTTTTAGAAACTGTCTTAAAGGACCAAGCTATGTAAGCTGGGTTAGAACAATTAGCACAGTATGTGAGAAATTCTGGGTGAACTGTTGATGAACTTATTTTTTTTAATTGTACAATGACATGGTTTAAATTTTAACCAGACTTCTGCCTGGCTCTTTGCTGCTGCTGTCTTCAGTACAGTAGCTTCTTGTAATTCATTTTCTGTGACAATTATTAAATTCACTTTTTGCAGAGGTGTTTTTGGTGCAAATTTTAGTAAAATGTTCTAGAAGTTCTTACTCGGTTCTGTAATTATTAAGGTTGATTCTTTTAAATGCTTATCTTAACTTGCAATGGGGCATACAATACATAAACTAAAGCCAAAAAAAAAAAAAAAGCCATGGTTCAACTTAACCATGTGAGATGTGTCTGCCACAATAGCTACACATTGGCTGGTACAGACATTTTAAAGGCTGTATTTAGGCTAAAGTAAACTGGTTTATTTTGAAGTAAACTGTATCAAGGGGAGAGTTAGCAAATTGTGGTAAAAATGTCCTAAATGAGGATAAACCTATGAAAGTTTTTTGTCCAGAATGTATTTTCTTCTATTCTTTAATAACTCTCTTCTCCATAACTAAAGTGATTAAATGTCTGTCTCCTACTTCTTCAGTGTAGAGATTGGTGAAAGTGTGAGAGGAGAAGATGTGTATATCATCCAGAGTGGCTGTGGAGAGATTAATGACAACTTAATGGAACTACTCATCATGATCAATGCTTGCAAGATTGCATCATCCTCCAGAGTGACTGCAGTAATTCCATGTTTTCCATATGCCAGGCAAGATAAGAAAGACAAGGTAGGTAAGATGTGTTTTATTATAAAAAGGATATGTTTTCTAAGGCTTTTTTTTCAGCTTGTTCCTTGAAGCTTTCGAAGATAAAATGTGTTTTCATAAACATTTGTATGACAGGTAAGACTTTTTTTAACGTATTTGTCTCCATGTTCAAATGTTTAATTATAACTTTTCTAAATGAATGGAGACAATAAATGAGCTTGCACTTATTTTGTTTTTTTGTAAGTAGGTACATGTGTGTGGTATATATCGGAATACCTTGCTAGCACCTAGTACTTAACTTGGTGGAACTCTTTCTGTCTTTTGCCAACTAGTTTTTTTTTTTTTTTTTTACTATACATTAGGAGAATACACATGTACTATTTTAATTAGTGTAACTGCACAGAATGAAATCCTTATACTGAAATTTTATTTAATAAAAGTAAAGTGATAATATTCATAATTTGAGAATGATAAAGGGCAAAAATCACCCTGACCTTTTAGTGGTTTTTCTCCAAATTTGAGATTCCATTAATGATAAATGCAACAGATTGATAATGCAATAACGTTTCCTTATGGGCAAGTGAGTTTGAAAAATCTAGTTCTGTATTTTTTTAATTAATTTGTAGTACATATATGCAAAAGCCTTATGTTACATGAATGTTACTTCTGCCAAAACTGAATTGAAAAGAACTGACAAGTTGTGACATACAAAAATATTGGATTGCAATTGTTGCCTTTTGGAAAACTGGCCCACTCAATACTTGCTGTAGATTGACTGCCCCCCTCCCTTGCACTTTGAGCACTGAACAAACCATTCTTAAAGCCCTGTTAGATTTTGGTTGTGTTTTTTTTTTGTTTGTTTTTGTTTTTATATAATATAAAACAGGATTGATAAGGGACATACACTCTAAAAATAATAGAAAACAACAAAATATGCCATTACTGGCATGTGATCAAGGAAAACAAAATTGAATACACCAAAAGTTTTCTTTTAAGGAGCATAGCCTCTATATTACAGTATTATTATTATTGGAGCTTTCAACAACTCAATTTAGGACTTAAGTAGTAGTTCGCTCTCCTTTGCCTACATCTTCTGGAACTTCATTTGGCTGTGTTTTTGTATTGAATAGTGTTCTTCACGACTAGAGAGCTGGAAAGGTTTTTATCAAAAGCGTTTGCAAAGCGAACAATAAACACTTGATTGAAAGCTAAGGAAAGCATCTTGCTCCTGAAGATGTTTGATTTCCAAATTCATATTTGCAGATTTTGCTGGGCCATAATACAAACTCTTGGTATTGGAAAAAGGATGTGTATGTCTCAAGTTTACTGTGCTTTTAGGAAATAGCTTATCAAGTGTACCAAAAAATTAAGATGGTAGGCTTCCAAGAGACACTTGAAACCTATAGGAGGAAGGTCTATTTTTGTCTTTTGGCAATGCCATCTGTATATAGACAGCACAGAAAAATAACTAAGACGCTCACTTAGACTCTAAGCATTGTTCCATTCCAGACTTTTCTTTGGGTGCTGCTGTATCCTGCAATTCTAGGCAAGCAAATTAATTTTTTTTTTCTTTTAACCTCTGTTTTGCAATTGCAAAAATGTTTGCCATCTTTGGAAAATAACCTTGGTAGTTGACCTCTGTGTTGCAAAATAAACTATACTGTAGCTGTTGACCCTGAGCAGCTCATTAACAGGGAGATCTTCCTCTCAGTTCCCTTGCAGCACATTCTTTGGTCTTTGACCCATGCTGGATGCGTAAGACTAGGGTGCTGCCTGAAATGTCAGAAAAGTGCCAGCCATTTTCTTACTATGAATGTACAGATTTTCTTTTTGTTGAAAGATCTTGCTGCAGTTGCTTGCATGTCAAGTGAAGCAGCATAATCTGCTGTTTACCTGGAGAATTTGTTAACGTTCAGCCCATTTAGCTCCTTATAGATGAGTCTATAAGGTTTTGCAGTAATGGTCACTGAAAACAGTGAAAGTGTTCTTGATGTAGATAAAAGGGGCTTTCACTAAAACACCATATGATAAGTAAGCCCTGTGTAATCCACTCTGGACGTTTTAGCATTAAACCTAGAGTGGCTCTAAGTGAGTCGGCTTTGGGTATTAGCAGTAGATCTAGCAGGTCTGTAGAGAGATTCATGCAAGCTCTTCTCCCAGTTCTAAAGGCAGAGAAGCAGAGGGTTTTTTTATAAATAAATAAATAAATAAAAACTTGCCAACAATCCTAGAAAGGTTGATTAATTGACTTGGACATAATCAAGTGCTATCGTAAGCTAGAATAATTCTGACACACAAGCTAACTAATTTAAAATTAGCTCAAGTGTCTGCGCTTTGGCTATATTTGCAAGTTTATGCATTCTCTAATTAAACTTGCCTTCAAAGCCTTCAGCAAGATACATTTATGTAGGATGCTGTAATGATGTCCTTGAGATAAGTTAGAAGTATAGTGACAGGTGAGGTTTGGTTCCACAGCTTATGTAACTTTGTTTTTTTGATTTGTAGAAGGGAGCCGTGGAGCGTTGGGTAGGTATCCTTATTCTTTTTTACTTTTTTTTTTTAATCTAACAGTAAGAATTTCCATTAAGGTGACCTTAAAGGGTGAAACTTACTGGGTTAAGTCATCTATTCCTAGGCCATGACTAGTAATTCCATGGAATAATTTGCTAATAGAAAACTCCTTGATTTTTAGTTGAAATTTTATTTGGACATTCAAGATAATGGCTGTCAATTTCTGAGGCTTCAAAGCATATCTCAATTTCAAAATGATAAATTTGACATAATAAATTAGTGACTATTGAGTATCAGTAAACTTCAGATCTGGCTTTCTTGAAAGTGAAAGTTCCAGCCAAATGTTTGTGGCTTTTTGAATGATATATATTTTTTGGTTCAGTATGCAGATGCATTTTGAGCAAAACAATATATTAAGATACTTAAGGATATTATCATCTTTGGCTTTCAGCTATGTATTCTTTGCATGGCTGTTCCTATGAGGTCATTTTTACTAGTTTTGTGGCTTCCGTCCCAACCCCTGGTGATTTTAAGAATTGTTAATAATTTTGTAACATACCGTAAAGAAGAAATCTTTATGTAATTGTTGCTATATGTGTGTGGGAAATTTGCCTGGGAACTAAAAACCTCAATGATTACTTCAATTGATTTTCTGTGCATAATCTAATGTTGTATTTCACATTGATATTTCTGAATAATCTGAAATTGTGTCAAAGAATGGAACAATGAATATAGTGAATGTTGCATTCATTCCTCTGAGAAGCAAACATCACAAAGTCAAAGAAAACCTTCAGTTCTTGTCTATGTTTGTCCTCTGAGTTTTTCAATTAGAGGCCAGATTGAGGTTTTCTTGAAGTTTATTTGAAAAATCAACTTGGATTATGTTGCAGCACAAAATTGTTCTCACTTTCTTTGTAAGCAATCAAATCTTAAATCTTTTTTGAGCATGATTATTTTAATGGACAATTTTATGTAGAGGAAGCTTGGATAGCCGAAAACTTCATTTGTCTTAATCTCCTATTAGCCCGTTCTTGAGAAACAGGTATTGCTGTTTGGCTATCTTTCCTTTCAAGACCCTCTGTCCACCATCATGTAGGCAATCTGTGATGTGCCTGTCTACTAAAACAAGCTACCTAGTGGTAAAACCTTCAAGTTTTTCCTTCTGGTAAGTCAGCCTGCAAGGGCCAGCGGCTGAAAGAAGTACCAACTGGTAATGTATACATTAGTACTTGATGCAGGTTTTTTTTTTTTTCTCGTGACAGTGATACTCATGATATGGAGCATGAGATAAGTTAACTGATATTTTTGTTGAAAAGAAATGGAGGGGAAAAGAAAGTGAAATTCATTAGACTGGAAGGAGTGAAAATGCAAACCGCATTCTGGGAAGGCTCTTTTTTCACCATGACATCAAGGCTGAACTTGTCACTGCTCTCTACCAGAGGTGGTTTTTCTGCTTAGCAGTTTTATTCCCCCTCACCTTTTTAGCTTCCTTAGCTGGCTGCTGTGGGTTCAGGCGGGTATCAGTGTGCAGCCCAAGAAAGAGTTTCGGAAGTGTATTGACTGGAGGCAAGGAGCGGGAGCACAAAGTGAGCAAACCTCTTCCTCCAGCAGCATTTGTTAGTTCAGCTTAACTAACCTCAAATCAATCCTTCACAAACTGCTGGTGAAGGAACATCATGGTAGAGTTAAAAGATGAGGACCTGCATCTTTATTTTGCTGGATGTTACCAGAGACTTAGAATATCTTGAAGCCTAACTCAGTCCAATTTGAACTGCTACAATGACCTGAAGTGACCTCCTGTATCTTGAACAGGACAAATCACAAGTTTAGCAAGAATAAAAGTATCTGGAAAGTTTTGGCTCTTGGACCTTACAGAACTGAGTATAAATGAAGACCGGAGCAGTCCTTGCAACTGGTAAATGGGCTTCCCTGGTTAGGCTATAAGGACTTCAGAAATCTTAAGGAAGCTGCCTGCATGTGAATTGGAGTTCTATGGAAATTCCAAACTGTTGTATACATCTTCTATACATCTTACACAAGCCAAAGAGGGGAGATTTTGTGCAAAATGTACATATGCATGCAAGTTTTCTAAATGAAGGGGTTTTTAATGATAATTTTTTTCAATGCAATATACAGAGATATTGCAGTCTTTCTTATAGCTTGGAGTATGTTGGCATTTCACAGGTTAAAACAGGCAAAGGTTGAATTTCCAACTAAATGAACAAATGCTTTGAGGAAAACGTCTGTCTGGATGCTGGTATAGCATCCAGGTTAAAAATGGCAATGGTTCAGCTTATTGTAGGTTTTTGCCCTTGAGACAGTTTTCACGAACTGTGAGATACTTTGTAAAATTGTGGAGGAGTTCCTAGAAGGCTAAATTAAGTTATTTGATAAAGAAATGTGGGAGGAGAAAACACCGTGTTAGCAAAACCAGAACCCAACAGTGAGATGGAACCTCAGCATTGGTTCTGTTTCTGTGCTAACAGTAGTGCTGGTAGGTATTCACATGTAGTGGCTAGTGAAAAGAAAATACGAAAATTAGTTTATTATGTCCCTTACAGACAAAGCAGAGGGTAACTTAGCTTTTCTCACAAAGATGCAGAGTCTCAAAGGGCTCTACAGAGAGCTGTTCAGAAAAATTGTAAGCTTTTCTGCAATCATGATTTTTCATCTTCTATAATGCTGCTCATTTTGCATCTTTGTCAGATTAAAAAAGCACTTGATATTGCACTTAACTGTGCTAATTACTCTTTCAGTCTTCTGCTGCTCTTTCATCTTTCCTTTTCTCTGCATTCCCTTTCTCTTCCACTTCCCTCCCTCTTTCCCCCTCAGAAGTCTAGATTTCTAATTGCATCTGACAAATCCTAATTGGCAAAATGAATAGTCTTCTACCCCTGTCTAGATGAATTTGTTGCAATTTTTACTGTATCATGAAGAAATGTTTGATATTAACTTTAAGCAGTGTTTTTAAAAGTAAAGTCCACCATGCCTTCCTTCATATTTGGCAATGTTTTTTTGGAATAGGATAGTTGCCTGAGATTTGGCTATGGGTTACGGGTTAGAAAATGAAGACTGTCTGGCCTTGATATGGAAGAGCTAGATAAAAGATCAAAGTAAAGAATTGGAAAGTTTTATCCACAGTTTTCTCTCTCTCTCTCTCTTTTTTTTTTTTTTTTCTTCCTTCTCTCTAATCCGGCATTATTAGCTAGGCTGTGCAAGCTTATTGAGATGCTCCAAAATCTTTTGCTGAGCTTCGAGACCCTGGTAGCAAGATTTGCTATTGACAGGCTGGTTTGGTCAAAGATTTTGGAGCACTTTGTATCTAAATTGTAAATAAGCTAAAGAAAACATAGCATTTTTTTCTGACTCTTTATATCTAGTAAATCTTAACGTTTGAACATTTGTGCTTTATTCCTCAGAGTCGTGCTCCAATCTCTGCCAAACTTGTTGCCAACATGCTGTCAGTTGCAGGAGCTGACCATATCATCACTATGGACTTGCACGCTTCTCAGATACAGGTAACTGCGCCCTCTTGCTGATGGCAGGTAGGAGGTCTGCTGAATTAGTATGAAAGGCTAACACTAATTGTCTGGAGTTTAAGTGTCCTCCCCCCCACCCCATTTTAAAAGGCAGTGTTCAAAAGTGTCATTTTCAGGGTTTAGAGAAAGCTTTGTTAGCTTCTCTATTGGTTTCTAATTAAATTCGCTTTTGAAAAAGATCAACCTTGATCTTATGGGGTGATTTTTGCAGGCGCTTTGGACACTTCTAGTGTTTTTCTCTCTCTCCCTTCCCCCCGCCCCTAAGGATTTGCGAAACCTGAGTTTATTAGAGCTCCTGGAACATACTCTATGCCCTTGGAGGAGCTAAGGGGGAGAGGGTGTCTCTCTTTAATTCTGGCCTTGATACAGTTTTGTTGATGCAGCCGAGGGGACAGTATTCACAGACAATACTCTATCCGGAGAAGTAGAGGCTAGAAACCCTTACCTAGCTTCACTGATGAATCCAGAAAATGGGAATAGACACTGGTTATAGTTCTCACATGCACCTCTTTCAAGATACCTTGCTTTTTCTAGAAAATACCTTCTCTTTCAGTTCCGATGTTCTCTTGAATCAGAATTTCAAATTAGTTCCAATGTTCTCTTGAATCAGAATTTCAAATTATGCTAGACTGTTCCCATCTGCATAGAAAGCAGATCTTTCTCCTCCATTAAGAGAAAGGGTCCATTCTGCTGCTCAAGTAAAGCTAACTTGAATCTTTCCCACACTGAAATACTAGTTCTCATGTCTAGTCGTTATTCTTAAGAATTAAAATTTATGGAAACTCAGTTATTTTGCTGAGACTTCTTCACAACCATGAATTTACTTAGGTGTCTGAGCCTTGTGTTTTTTGGGTTTCGTATGATGGGAAAGGTTGTTTTTCATTTCATCACTTCAGGTGAGATTTTTAGAGACCTTAGTATTGGTCCACCTCTGTTTCGAATGAATTTGATAGAAATAGCAGGTGATAGAATAATTAGTCTTCTACATTAGCCTAAAAGTCCTACCCTATATGAGGCAAAGGCTTGACTCTTTCGCTGTTGTCTTTCAACTAAAAAATAAATGTATGTTTACGAAACTGTTTGTCTCTTGCCTTAGGGTTTCTTTGACATTCCAGTAGATAACCTGTATGCAGAACCTGCAGTACTACAGTGGATAAAAGAGAACATTGCGGAGTGGAGAAATTGTATCATAGTCTCACCTGATGCAGGTGGTGCGAAAAGGTACTGTTGAAGCTGTTAGTAGTTAGTGAGCAATGAACTACTTGGTTGTATTCTTTTTCCTTCCCTTCCTCCACTCCCTTGAATTCTGTGAGAAAAGAGGGTGCATCATTGACACCAGCTACCTTATAAAAACAACAGCATAACTAGTTGTTCTAAATGTTGTTAGTGCTTGTAAACATCCAGGAGCTTTCTGTACTCTAAAGAAAATGTTTTTCTCTTTCCCCGGATATGATCTCGTTAGCTGAATTCCTCCATTGGGGGAAAGATTTTTCCAGCTTCTTTAGTCCAGTTGCTGCACCTCTTCCTGCTTCACTCTGGAATTGCCTAAGTTTCTTTTCTCTGTTAAAGCAAATGGCCTGCCCTCACTGCTCCTGCTGGCATTTAGGTAAGACCCTGCTTGAGTCGCATTTCTTTTTTATTCAAATTACTGAAGTCTTTGTGAACCTACTGACTCAAGCTATGTACTATGAATATTACAAAAAGAATGAGGTATTGCTTTGAGTGGCAAATGGTGAAAGTAGAAAATTTAATTCACTGTAATGATTCTCTATGCACAGCATGTGTTACTTGTTTAGGGAACCATCTTTTACATGACACCTATAAAACAAAAGGTCAGGAACAAAGTGAAGTGACAAAGGATGCCAGTGAGGTGAAAAGCTCATTCTGAAGTTACGCTTGTGTATTAGAGATTCATGCGAATTTATTTTTGAGGACCATTTCCATTCTATCTTATGTATTTAAAAATTGTCTTAATATCTTTCTGTTGAAACACAAAGATTTGCTGTTGGAGTAAGGGAGAATGTTGCTTATCATAAATTTACAACTTCTTTGTTATCAGTAAAATAACCTAAAGATGGTTTTGGCTTGTTCATTTAAAACATGCAGATCTTCCAATTAATGCTTGGCTTAATGAAAGTGAATAGAAAGTGAACATAATCGGAAGTATTAAATATATTTTTTGCTTGCTCAATGTTTTGAACATCTGAATACTTTTCTGTTTCTTACCATTTGCTTGGTGCCTTTCCAGCTCATTAAGTTTTGTGATTGAAGTAAGGCATGCAAGTTCAATTGGTATCTTAATGCCTCTGAGGTATTGAGATTTGCTTTGAAATTACACTGTTGAGCAAAAAAATGTGAAAACGCTTTAAAATTTTTTTGTTTATCAGCCTGGTTTGGAAAGCTGCAGCAAAACAAACATATTTTTCATATTGAAGTGCTAAAGAAACTGAACTGGTATGAACCTTGTTAACAGCTTTCTAAAATATTCTAAAAAGGACAGCCTTTAAGACTGTGCCAGCATGGACGAAATATAATAGTGTTTATTTCTCTGAATATGTCTGACAGCTTGAGCATGGTCAAAAAACCTGAATAAAGCAATGTATTTAATTAGAATAATTAACAATAAAAATTAAAGCTTGTTAGTGGAATTCTGTCTGGCCACCAGAGGTCATCCTGAGAAGTTCTAAAAACTCTTTGCCAATCAAAAGCATTGCTAACAAAATTACTAAATAAACTACCTGATTACTAGACAAATATTGCTGAATAAGTTACTAATCACTACTAACTTGCTTGTTTTTGCCATTGATCAGATTTTTTACTTTCCTGGCAATAGTATTTCCAGTTTTTAAAGTAAAGCTGTTATATGCTTAGAATTGAGGCTAGCTCTTTTTTAAACTGTCTAGAATGAATGGGTTTTGCAGCAGTTCAATAAAACCTGTGAATAGCTGAAATGTTTTGTGTGTATATTCCACATATCAGCAAGAGCCAAATCTTAGGTGACATGCATACATGTTTTTTTTCTGAGCTACTAGAAGCCCTGTAGTTAACTTTGAAATGATTTTAAAGACTATATTTAAGTTTTCTTAATTTAATTTTGAACTATATAATGCAGTGGCTTTCACAATTGAACATTATTCTTTAACTTTCCCCTGCCCAAACCTTCTTCATAGCAGTTCTTCCATAGCAGTCCTAAAGGGAAAGCTTTTCCTTGAAGAATGAGACATTAGATCTCCACGTATTTTCAGACAGCAGCTTTTCTTCTAGCAGTGACCCTCCTCTACACAGGTATTCAAAATTTCTGTTTATAGTATAGGTGCAGAGGTTAAGCTACTGGGCCTGTAATTCTCCCACCCTCTATTCTGAAGAGGAAGAGACTGTTTCTAGAAGGACCAGAATCTACTACAGTACCTACCCACTTCTCTTATATTAGAGACTTGCTGTCTGATTTATAGTCAGCTTCTGCTTCAGAGATTAGTTCTGTCTTGCAGTAAATTTCCACAGTATATTTGTGTTATAAAAAGCAGAATATGTGTACCAAAGTATATTTCATAAACTTACTGCAGCTAAACTCCTCTTTGGCTTAGATGAAGAAAAGCAATGACTGCTTCAGGGTTGGGGCGTGTGTGTGTGTTTGTATTTTTTTTTTTTTTCTCTCCTCTCTAGTTGTTTAAGTTTTGTGCTGTGAACTACTCACCCTGAGGTACTGTGTCTATGTCCTCTTTTCTCCAGCCAGGGACTAGCATTGCTGGAATGCTGCTTCTGTTAATACCCTGAACACGGTGACTTTGCTATATTATTAATTCTGTTTGCCTAATGACCTTTTCAAAGACAGGAGTTTAGTGTCAGAAAAGTCAATTTTAGAAAGTCCACTTCTGGAGTATTTGTTAATACATGTGATTGTTTTTAGTAGCCAGGAATTAAGATTTTTTTTGCCATGTCTCATGACTTGCAAATGTTTGTCCTACAGTATTTTTTAGTAAATGGAGTTTTATGACAAATAGAAGTAGGCTTTCTCCTTTCTTTTCAAGTAGGCTTCTGAAATGTGTTTTATTTCTTTCTTCAACTTAGGGTTACTTCAATCGCTGACAGACTAAACGTGGAATTCGCTCTCATTCATAAGGAGCGGAAGAAAGCCAATGAAGTAGACAGGATGGTCTTGGTTGGTGATGTGAAAGACAGAGTAGCTATTCTTGTTGATGATATGGCTGACACATGTGGCACGATATGTCATGCAGCAGACAAGTAAGTATTAGAAACTATCCCAATGTCTCCTTATAATGTGACCTGCAGATGAGGTCAGTTGCTGCATCTGCATGCTTATAAATCAGCATAGTCTCTGTAGAGCAAAGTTACCACGTCTTCAGTCTACAGGTCACAGATGCGTAATCAGATCGTCCTTCTTTAGGATGTGGAGATGAAAATATTTATGGAAATACAAAATCTGTATTTAGAAAGAAGACAGACTAAAAACACCCATCAGATTTGGAAGAGACTTGAGGGACATCTAATGTGTTTTCCAGATCCAAGGCAGAAATGACAGATGTTTGTGTTCTTAAATCTTATCATGGAGTTTTCCCGCTCTCCTTCAGCAATCTTTTGCAAAGCTTTGCTGCATTTACTATTAGAAAGGTTTTCTCCTCAGTGTTTAATGAGTACATGTTTAATCTTTAATTTTAGTGGAAGTCTGCAGTGTAAAACTACTTGTTACCTTTTCTTGGACAGTGAAAATAAGCTATTTACGTTTATTTATTTTATTCCTCTTTTGTCTGGAATGTAGTTGAAGACTGTTTTCAACCCCCTCTAGACTAAACAGCTTCAGCCTATTCAGTCTTTCTTTCCACATAGTTTCTAGACCTCTGCTCTGCAACTGCTGCTGTCAGAACTCTTCAGTTCTTCCATTTACTTAAAGTGCAGCATGTGAAAGGAGGCCCAGTATCCTGACTGAGGCCCTAGCACTGCTGAGTAGAAAGGGTTAATCTGTGGGGTTCCCTTTCAGCCTGTACTTACCCATGTACTTTTAAGGGTGGTAGTAATTTTTTTTCTTTTTCTTCCTGTACAGGTTGATAGTGTTGCTGCCCTGAACTTTGTTAATATCCATACCCTTTTCTAAAACATGATTAGCCGAAAGTCCCCAGTCTGTGTAAATTCAAATGATTAATTTTTGCTGTTGCTGTAGCTTTGCAACAGAAAATAGATGGCAGGAATTCTAGCTTCAAAATTCATTTCGACAAACTTGGAGAAATGGAGGGATATTCATCAAGAACTAGTATGAGGTTAGAGTTGAGCAATACTGGACTGAAGTCTTCCTGCCCTTCCACTCATATCCCAATGTATGCTCTCAGCTCTGCTTTGGAAAGTCAAGGGCTTCAATCTAAATTTGACTGGAGACCTGAGTTTTCCCATCCAAAGGTTATTTTCAAAACTTATGTTATCTGTTTTATGACAAGGCTCCCCCCAGATGGTTGTGCCTGCTTCAAAATAGAAGTGGAAGCCAACGGTTGGGCAACTGGGATGTCTTAAATGGATCTTGTTGCTGAATACTTACTATAGTACTGTTACTCCTGCACTTAATCCTTTCTAAACCTTGTATCTCTGAGTCGAGATCATTTTGAATTTATATTTCTGCCCAGTAAACTAGCAGACCATTTGAAAGTATTGACTAGCATCAGATCCCATGTAGGTCCGCATGATACTTCCTACCCAGAGCTATTTCATGTTCTGCTGAAGTAATAGGGTGATTCTTGAGTGAGCTAGACATCACCCCTAGCAGTCTGAAGTAAGTATCATCCCGCAAATTTGCAGGATTTAGTTGCAGACTTGTTGTTAGCTTCCAGATGATCAGGATGTCAAAGATTCAAGGTGGGAGAATTTTAGTCGTCTTGTCTTTTCTGTCATGCTTGATGGGGTTTTGCAGCTGGATTCTATGCAGTTCTTTGCTGTCCACACAGTGATCTGTACCAAACCCCAGTGTGGGCCTCTGTGCTGTGCCTCTGCTGGACAAAACCATAGCTTGTCTAGCCAACGATTTTTGACATCTGTGTGCACAGAGGAAGCTAACTATTGTCAAAAAGGAAGCCTTTATTTTTTTTCTGCTGCAAAAGAAACTCTTTGCTCTATAAAAATCTACTGTGGATAAATTCCAAAAGCATCAGAAACTGGGAGCGTTCACCCATGCTTTTGCTCAACGTTCTGCCATTTCTGCCTGTGTTCTTGGCATCAAGGTGTGCTTTTCATTAATGCCAAACCTAAATGAGATGCAATTTTTGCTTAATTAGACTTATCTAAACTACTTTGTAAGTCTCTCTATCCTAGCAACTCGAAGGCATATCCAGCTGATTAGGTGAGACATGTATTCCTAGACACTGTAGGTAGCTTGCTGAAGGCTTTTTTCTTCTTTACTCATAGCACATATACACACTGTAAAAATGTACCCTCCTTTCAGGTTGCATATTGGAATGTTTGGAATTCTTTAATTCTAATGAGTCATTCAGAATATGATATGATATTTCAGTATTTTTCTCTTGCTTTCCTACTTTCTGGGGTGATCTAATAAAGGACAGTTAGCTGTTCACAGCTGCCTTTTGTCCTGGTTCTAGTTGTAGTCTCACATGGCTTTGAGTATCTGGAGGTAGGGAGGCCAAACTAAGACACTCTAGCTTATTCACAAGCTTTTCTAGTTCTTTTATTTCTGCAGGGTTTTTTTGTGTGCTGCATCATCTCACTCTCTTCTGAATGAACAGCATCTTTCCTAACCTTGCAGTAAGCTAGGTTTTCGAGCGTAACCTTTTTTTGGCCTCAGAAACCTCTGTCCAAGTACAATTCACTTTGCATTTCAAAAAAGTTCCATCTAGAACTGTGCATTTAAACGTGCATGTTCTGTCTTTGTGTTCTTCAGGCTGGTGTCTGCTGGAGCCACTAAAGTTTATGCTATTCTGACTCATGGAATCTTTTCTGGTCCTGCTATTTCTCGAATTAATAATGCAGCTTTTGAGGCTGTAGTGGTAACAAATACAATCCCTCAAGAAGAGAAAATGAAACACTGCCCTAAAATTCAGGTACTCTAGTGTTTTTTTGTGTGTCATCTGTTCAAAATCTGAATTTGTGTTTTTACCATTCTCTTATGCTAGAGTTTTGTACCTGAAGATGAAAATAATATTCTCAAACACATTTTGCAGCTAGACTGTTTGCAGAGCATACTGCCAAGTTATGCTGCAGAACTGCTTTGAGAAAACTCAGTTAGTATGATAAAATAGTGAGAAAAATTTATATAATAAGGCATGAGTTTTGAGTATGTGTGAGTGAAAGGATAATGGGTTTAAAGATGGCTGTGATGCTTTTTTAAAAAAAATTAATCAGTATTCCACAAACGATATTTGTTTATGGGAGCTGTGTTATTGCGAATGCTGCTGAGATCTGAGATTTCCTTGTGTTTGAAAATACACTAATGAAAATGCCCAAGATAATGATATGTTTCAAAATCAAGCTGAAAATACAAAGCTGGCTTATCTCAGTACATGAGATTATTCTTGGAAGTCATGTGTCCCTTTAGTGTGTGCCTGGGGGATTATTTTGTTTTGTTGTTCACCATTTATCTGGTCGGGGGAAGTATAAAATGGTGCTTTATCTGCTACATTGAAAGAGAACAACTTGACAGAAATCAAAGCAGCTGTGTTTTATGTGGACACTGCCATCTGATGGCTGGAATGAAATGTTTCTTGTGACAGCATGGCTGTTAAGCCTGGACAGAAATTGGTTACTATTTTCTCATTCAATTTTCAATCTGTACTTTATATTAATACAGTCCTCATCTTAGGCTTATTTAATGGCTTAATGTTATTTTCCTTCTTAGCTGTGGTAAGAGGGCAGAATAGGAAACAAAAAGTACAGTTTATAAGCATATAACGTGTGCTTATAAACTGATTTTCTTAATAGGATATCAAAACAGTAAATTACAATCTTTTTGACTTTTTTTTTTTTCTTTCCTCTTAGTTTATTGACATTTCTATGATCCTGGCTGAGGCAATTCGAAGAACACACAATGGTGAATCAGTGTCTTACCTGTTCAGTCACGTTCCCTTGTAAGTGCCAGGGGTTGTGCTGCATCTTGGAGAGGGCTGCGACGATGAGCCCTGTTCTTAACAGTGCACCTCAACCACAGGGATGAGTATGTCTGTAGAAGCCCAGAACTTGTATGTTTAATTGTTATATTTGTCTCCTAATTGCATTTTTTCCCTTGTAAATTGTCAATAAATCTCCACCCTGCAGAAACCTTTTGTGAATTTCCTTGAGAGTTTGGCATCTAGCCTGCTGCTAAATTCTTGTGTATGTTCATGGTCTTTCTACTGAACTGCTGCTTCAGATCTGTCTGCTGTTCAGAATTACTACAGAAGTTAATAGAACTCAATTGGTTTTATGGGATTGTTTTTCTGTGTTAAGCTAAATGCTACAGGTTTAGGCATATGGAATCTAGTAATTCATCCATAAGCAAGATATTTTCTTTCCTTGTTTTGCTTAACTCCAATGAAAATTATTTTGTAAGCCCTAAGAATTTAATTTAAACCTCATGCTAGTTTTAAGGAACTGTTGACACATCCATTATACTACCTGTGTTTCATAAGCTTTTTGTTTGTTTGTGTTTCTTCACAAGTTTATATATAACTAAGTTTTATTGTTATACCATTTATTTGAAGTCTAAGTTATAATATTGGTGTTTCAAAACTTTGGGGGCTATTTATTAATTTCCTGCATTTCAATAATAAGGACCAATTTTAAATCCCAAGAGCAATTTGTTTTGCATGTCACTTTTCCTGTAGCTTTTAGCGTTCTATGAGTCTGATCATATGAATAATTTCACAAGTTCTACTGATAATATTGTCAGGTTTTGTGTATTGTCTGAACAGCAAATACAATCACACTTACACATCCATAAAGGATAGTCTACCCATATTTATTTGACTGAAAAAAAGCAGAAAATACTTTTCATTTTTTAACTTCATAGTTGATAGAGCTTCAGCTCTGTTATGTTCTACCACAAAACTTTGCTGTGTAGACAGTGAACTCTGGTAAACTAACCAGTCTTTAATATTAAAATATTAAAGAACTAAAACCACAGGTAAATTAGGATGTGTGCTGAGAATGGTTAGGTACTGGAAAGTGCAGTCAGTGCAGTCAAGGGGGAAGGTGGAATCTGTCGTTGTATTTCCAGGTCTTCACATTCTTTTAGTTTTCAGCCTTTCTGCTAGAAAGGAAGAGTTCAGTTGTGTTAGGATAGTGTTCCTGCACCTAAATCATGGGAAAACTCAGTTTTCCACCTGAGAGTACAGTTTTTAATGATAAAAAATATTTGGCATGTTTAAGAAATATTTCATTACTGTGGCACTGGACAGAATACCCTTATTTTGTCCTATATTGATTATTTTGAGATATTTTTATCATGATACACTGTTTATAAAATGGATTTTTTTGTTCAGTTTAACCTGATCTTATGTTCTGTTTGTTCCTTTGAGGGGAAAAAATGTGGCTACTTTGCCTTTATATTTTTTAAAATGATTTGCTATTTCTTCTGTGGATTTCTTCATATATTTAAGATGAAGAAAACAATTTCACCCATACTACTTCATATAATGAGTGTAGAAATGAGTTCCTAGGATATTGCAGTCAGAATTCAGTTCAGCTATAAGTCCTCTCAGAAATTCCTCATTATAGTTATATTTTTGAAATACTTTATACCACAATGGAATGAATCTCCATTATTAACTGAATCAGAAAGCTATTTTTTAATGTATGATTATTTAACCCATTGTACTAAACCGTTTTTTAAAATATTACTTTGAAATATGTGGCTACAGTCTGGGGGTTAATGACCTAATTGTGTCACCAAAATTTAAACCTTATTACACATATAAGATAGACAATAAACTTACTACCCACTATTTTTCAATTTTATAGATCAGCTCTTTGTTACAAACCAAATGCTGAATTGTTTGCTTTTATTATGCACAAGTATTGTAAATAAATCTTTAAAATTACACTGGTCAAGATGCTGCTTGTGTTTTTTATTCTTATTTGTTTGTTTTATGAAGAAAATGTCCTGCACAGATCAAGTATCAATGCTTTCATTCTTCCCTATTTGTCTAAACTTTACTAATAAATTATCTATGAGCTTTCCTGGATGTAAGCATGAACTGTTGTTCACACCAGACTAGTGTGAACTCTTAATGATCATCCTTCTCCTTTATATAGTCTGACAAAAATGACACCATGCCCACGGTTTCATTGAAAATTTGAGTTAACACTTCTGAACAGTTGAAAGTTCCTACTTCTCAGCTTATTGTAAGCAAAACAATTGCCCTCTATTTGATAAGATTAGGTGGGGGAATGAACAGAAGTAACTTTAAGAAGTAAGCTTCCTGTCTGTATGGAACACTTTTGAACACTTGAAACCCTTGTGAGGTTAGAGAGGTAGAGATGAAAATCCTGTAAGTATTTGACAGACTTTGAAGATTAACTTAGACTTCTTTGACTCTAGAGCAACTTTTTTTTCCATGTTCATAAAACTGCAGTATTTTGTCTGGGAGTTTTTTGTTTCGTTTGGTGTGTGTCTTTTTTTATACACCATGTGTTCATTGGCCCATTCTGCATTTTTGATTTGAAGATTGTGGCAGAGTTCGGACTAAATAGAAACTTTCTTCTCCAGACAGAATTATTTTGTTTTGAAGGAGAAAAAGTACTGGATTGCATGTATTCTGTGTCAACAGGTGGATGTTCTTCAGAGTCCCGCAAGAAAGGCACATGCTTTCTTGAAAGAAAGCCAACTATTTTATTAACACCTCAGAGCATGTGATAGCAGTTTAAACCTTCTTATGTCCTTTCTAATGCTGGGAATTCCAAACTAATGGAGTATCCCTGATCTCTGCTCAGTCCATAGTACACTGTTCAGACAGTTCATGCTGAGGTTCATAAGTCTTCTGGCCTTTGGAGGTTTTTATAGGATTTTCCTAGGAGTACTGTGCAGTAGACAGAACATGTGTTGTTTCATTTTAATCTAAAGATCCCAGAATGGTCAAGGTTGGAAGGGACCTCTAGGGATCACCTAGTCCAACCCCCCTGCTCCAGCAGGGACACCCAGAGCACGTGGCACAGGGTGGCATCCAGGCGAGTTTGAAGATCTCCAGAGAAAGAGAGTCCCCAGCCTCTCTGGGCAGCCTGTTCCAGGGCAACGCTACCCTCACAGGAAAGAAGTTCTTCCTCACATGGTATAGATGAAAACACAGGAAGTTCCATCTCCATTACCCTTGTCCAAAATGTGCCAAAATGGCATTCTGTGGGCTTCCACCACAAGCAGCTGGCTGAGTCCAGCACAGTCCTGAAAGCCGCTGATTTGCAGTACAGTACGTGCCTGTGTTTATTCAGGTCAACTTAGGTGGATCACTAACTCCTCAATGTACTGTAGCCTTCCTCTTAGGACCTCTGTAGCATGTGCAGAATTAGGCAGAGATGAAACGAAACCCCACAAAATGCTAATTTGACTAATCCTCTTCTATGGCCATAAAGTGTAATTATTTTACTTTCTAGTGTAGAAGTGCTTGCAGCGTTTTTGAAAGGTGGTGTCACGGGCGGCAGCATTTCGACGTCAGAAGCGGAGGCCCTTCCTGAGGCAGGGTGGCTGTGTGCAGCAATCCCTGAGCCTGTGCATAACCTGGCACCTTCACTGCACAAGGCCCTCTCCAAGCTGTCCCTCAGTCACTACGTGCTGAATCCTGGTTCTGCACCCTCCCCTGTGTCTCGTCATGACTGACACTTGAGGGGCGATCGTTGAAGGGAGCCGGTTCTGACAGGCAAAGGTGGAAGAGGGAAAAGAGACTGAACGATACAACACAGGGCAAGCAAGAGGCTATGGGTGCTGCCTGCCTTACTTGCCTGAGCTAGATGTTGCCCATGTGGCAAATGGATCTCTGCTTGGTAGGTGCCAAATGGGAAATCCTGGCATTGTGCTGGCGTGGGGTAATAAGTTTTCAAAACCTGGAAACAGAGTTTTTCTGTGATGATAGGCGCCCCCTCAGTGACGTGCTGCAGTGCCGGATGGTTGGGCAAGCTCTTAGCACAGAGCTGGGAGCATCGCCCCTCTCACGGGCTGATCTGAAAGCAACCAGTCGTCACCCGCTGTGCCCTTGCCGTGGGCTGATCTTCTCAACGTTGCCTTTTGCTTATTGTTTTGGTTATTTTTAGTGCCCTCCCCTACAAACTCTGCAACAGCTCTCAGCGGGTTTTTTACAATTTTACTGTCCTTAAGGCTTCTGCAAATGGTTTTGTTACCATTTCCTCAATTTTCCTATCCATTTCTCTTTGTGCTTCGCTTAGTACATCTGTCCACATCAATTTAAAGAGACATCTTACGTATTTCAAAAATTGAGCAACTTTGTGATAATTTCTTGGATAAATTATGCAATGTCACACCCCAAACATAATACTATCAATGAATACTTAGGGTGCTAACATAATTTTTGTTATGCAGTATGCCTTTGAAAAGGCATGATGTAAGACTTTAACTAAACTACCTGCTTTACATTAAACACAGTAGAACCCTGATTTTGAGAAACAAAGGAAGTGATTTGCGTGAGCTGTCATTTAGGAGGAAAAAAAAATGTTTTATGTTCAGTAGTTTGCTTTCATTTTGACTTGCAGGAGAAGGATTAAAGAGATTAAATTTAAAACTTTTTCTCTATGTTAAATGATATGCTTCATCTGCAAGGTAGACAAGTTCATTTGCTGTTACCACCGACCTTTCCTGGCACATGTTGCAGTAGGAAGTACTTTTCTGCTTTCATTTACTTTGTATTTCACAACAGCCAAGAAAGATTTTGCCCAATGTCTGCAGCAAACCTGAGATTTTTAAAATCAGTAAGGCAGTGACTCCCTGGTGCCTCAAAAAGTCAAAATTATAGCTCTGAAGTTTTGGACTGCTGAGCTCCCCTGCATTCACCTCCACCTTCTGAAGGGAAATATTGCTGTACTCTGCTTCCCACAGTTCTTAGATCAAAATAATAAAAAAGGAAAGGAAAAAAAAGAGGAAAATAAAAGATCTCTGCATTTCTTTTAGCATTCAGTTAGT